TTTGGAAACAATTTCGAGGCGCCAGTTTAAGACCAAAGATTCATAATTAGAGTTTCCTGGAAAGAAGCTGCTGGACGGAGTGACGCCTCCCTCTGATGGATGGAGTCTCAGATCTCATTTATTTTTGTGCAGAAAGCGTTTATTCCTCAAAGGAACATGTGTGAGAGAAAAAACGTGAAAGCCAGCAAAGTGTTTGACACACTAATGACGGACTAATAGCAAGCAGCAGCAGCGCCGTCCAGAAACCAGCTCCAGTGGTTCAGTTTAACAAAACCTGAACTCTGAGCTCAGCTTCACTGTGAATGTTTTCTGGTTTCTGTCCTCTGTGTCGGTGAACTGATCATCTGTGGACTAAACAAGACATCGAAGGAAACTGGTCCACATTTTTCACCATTTTCTGATATTGTAAACCAAACAGCTGATCAATTAATGCAGAAAACAAGCGAAAGATTAATCAACAGTAGACAAGTATTCACTCGCTGCAGCTCCAGAAGGAGCCTTCGTCAAACCAAACTTCTGATTTACATCCAGCAGAGCGTCACCTGTGGACATGTCTCTCTGTGTGTGTCCTGTCAGGAGGACGTACAGGTTTACTCTAAGGATGACTGTCAGATAAGAAACCGTCGGCCTCAGTGAGCTGCAGCAGCGTGAAGCTTCATCACTGCCGAGAATCTGGATGTTTCCACACCAGCATGCAGGTTATGAGGGTTTGAGTCGTATTTACGGTGTCTCCATGGAGCACAGAGGAGCCGGTTAGCTCCGTTCTGCTGTTGGTGGAGGCCACGCTGATGCTTTCATCAGTTCAGCTGTTCAACCTCCAGCTGATGAGACTGTAGCTGCTGGAGATGAGCTTCTGGAAGCCGAGCAGGTCACATGTAGACTTCATGTGGTGGCTCTGTTTCTCAGGAAGGTTGAAGGTCAGTTACCTTCAAGAATCCAAAATATTATCAGCTAGAAACTGTAGAAACATCAGACTTCTACTTTCTATATATATATATATATATATATATATATATATATATATGTATGTATGTATGTATTCTACCGTCTGGTAGAATAAACTGTACATGCTTCCTACTGGCTCCTTTGTAAACATCTATGCATATATTCTATTTGTCTTTTATACTTGTACTCTGCACCACTGGAGTTCCTCTTGATTTCGTTGTACTTTGTGTATGATGACAATAAAAGCATTCTATTTTATTCTATTCTATTCTATTCTGTCTCTGACCCAGATATTTGTTCCTCAGCAGCAGATCAGTATGTTCTGCTCACCTGAGCCTGGATCTGATCCGATCTCTGCTGGGAATCCTGCTGCCACACAGCCGCTCAGAATAGAAACTTATCTGCTCATCAGTTGTCAGGACGAGTTTCAGCTCCTTCTGGCTGTGAAGCAACAGCGAGCGATAAAAACACAGCGTGGGGTTCGTCCTTCGCTGCATCTCAGCAGCTTTCTGAGAACAAACAGGTCTGTGGAGCAGCAGAGTTCTGAGAAACACCACAGATTGTGTCTGCAGAGCTTCAGATGCAGCGTATCTCTGTTTGTTCAGCTGAGGATGAAGCTGGAGTGTGTAAAGTGATGACTGATGTGGAGCTCTGGACTGACATGAACCTCCCCAGACATGAAGCTGCATGTCGGGATTAAAGAGAAAGAGGCAGCAGAGCAGCAGAAGTGAAGCAGAACGGTGAGATAAGAGCCTGAAAATAGCTCCGTGCTGATGAGTTGTTTCATGTTCAGGAGATGAAATCTGAGCTGTTGGACCAACACATGCTTGTTTACTGCAGCAGCTTCCAGTCCGGATTCACCACAGAACAAAGTCCTCCTGCTGTGGCAGAAACGCTGCTGCTGCCGGAGCGGCGGCATGAAGTTCGGTTCTGATCCGGCGGTTGGAAGCTGCAGCGAAAGTTCAGCCAAATGACCAAAGTTAATGTGAAGTTAAAGTATCGTTCTTGCACATCATCCAGAAAACCAGAGAAAACCAACCATCCAGAACCTTTTGTCTTCGTCCATTTACAGCAACAACGCGTGACGGCCGTTCAGTGCTGTGAGTTCAGCTTCCAACGCCGAAACCCGAAACCTGCCGCACGTCTGAGACATAGAACCTGGATATTAAAATGTCAAACACCTGAACACCAAAGTGCAAGAGTGTCCACTTACAGCAGCCGGATGTCCAGTTTTTATTTTGTACCGAGTAAAACCAG